TCTTTAAAATCTTACCAAATTCCAGCCTTTCCCAGCCCGGTTCCATCCTCTCCCGGCCCGGTTCCATCCCCTTTTTCCCAGCCCGGTTCCAGCCTCTCCCATCCCGGTTCCATCCCCTCTCCCGGCCCGGTTCCAGCCTCTCCCGGCCCGGTTCCAGCCTCTCCCAGCCCGGTTCCAGCCTCTCCCGGCCCGGTTCTAGCCTCTCCCGGCCCGGTTCCAGCCTCTCCCGGCCCGGTTCCAGCCTCTCTCCAGCCACCCCGGGCTAACCGGCTGGGAAATGAGGCCGAGGGCTCCCGGTTCCCTCCCGCAGCTCCCGGTTCTGCTCTCTCCTCCCTCCCCGGGGAATTCTGCTGGCCCAGCCGTGCCTCACCTGCCGGAGGATCTGCTGGGCTTGCTGGGGCAGCCGGGCTTGCACGGCCGCCGTGCTGGCCAAAGTCTTCCTCAGGCGCTCCTGGGGAAGCGCAGCGAGGGCAGAGCATCCTCAGGGCCCGGGAAAGAGGGATGTGCCCCGAGCAGGAAAACCCCTCTGCGGGGGATTTCTGATTTACAGCACCAAATCTGAGCACTGAATAACGAAACCGATTCTCCTGGCTGGAATTTTCCTGGCTCTGCCATCACCCTATAACTGTATTTATTATTTATTTATTTTTATTTTTTATTTTTTATTTATTATTTTTATTTATTATTTTTAATTTTTATTTTTTATTTTTTATTTTTTATTTTTTATTTTTTATTTTTTATTTTTTATTTTAATATTATCTCCTGGCTGGAATTTTCCTGGCTCTGCCATCACCCTGTAACTGTATTTATTATTTATTATTTATTATTTATTATTTATTGCTTATTATTTATTATTTATTATTTATTATTTATTATTTATTATTTATTATTTATTGCTTGTTGCTTATTATTTATTGCTTATTATTTATTATTTATTATTTATTATTTAATATTATCTCCTGGCTCTGCCATCACCCTGTAACTGATTTTGGGGTTTTTTTTGGCAGAAGGAACCCATGGGGCACCCCAGGGTTTATTTTGGGGGGCTGGAAGCGGCTCGCGGGTACCTTGAGGTGCGGGGCCAAGCTGGACAGGACCCGGACGCTTTCCCCCAGCTCCGCCTGTGGGAGTGGGAGAGGGAGGCGATAAAAGCTCCGAAACCTCTTTGTCCCCTTCAAGGCCACCAAGGCCGGCAGGGACTCACCACCAAAGCCTCCTGCGACTGCACCGTGGAGTTCTGCATGTGCCACAGCGCCCGCGCCTCCTCCGCGAGCCTCGCGGCCACCGAGCGGTTCCTCTGCGGGCACAGCGGGCTGAGCGCGGCCCGGGGCCACCGGCGCCTCCCCGCCGCTCGCCCCGCCGCTCACCTGCATTTTCTGCAGCCCCTCCAGGCTCCTGGCCAAGCCGGGCAGGCTGCTCTGCACCACGGGGTTTTTCATCTGCGGGGAGAAAGGAGTCGGGGGGTGCCCCAAAGGCGGTGCCCGGTGCGGGGCGCGCCCTGCAGCGAGCTCCGAGCATCCCTCACCTCCTCCTGGAAGCGCCCGTAGTCCACCTCGTCCACCCCGCTGCGGGCGAAGCTCTCCAGGTCCTGCCTGCCCTCGCTGCGGAGGAGCCTCACGTCCCCCAGCTTGGCCGTGAAGTCGCCCAGGCGTTTTTGGAAATCAGCCGTGTACTGCGAGGGTCGCACGGGGGGTTCGGAGGGGCTCCCAGCGCGCCCACTAAAGCTCTGGGTGGCCCCCGTGGCGCTCCCAGCAGCTCCGGCTCGGAGCCAGCCCCTCACCTTGGGGGTTTTCAGGTGCTCATCCAGCTCGTAGGGGCTGTGGAGCTGCAGAACCTCCCAGAGCCCCGCGCCGCTCCTGCACTCCCTGGAAGGCAGAGGGAGATGGGCAGAGCCACCCCAGATCCAGGCGGGCGGCGCTGGGGCAGCTCCAGCGGCGCTCACCGGTACGCGGAGCTGAGGTTGGAGCCCCTCCGGAGGTTGAGCTGCTGGGTGAGGTTCATGGAGGGCGGGAGGTTCCCGGGGGTGTCGATGAACTGCGGCAAACAAGAGGGAAAACGGCTCGGGGTAAGGGACAGGCGTTCCCAGCAGGAATTCTGGGGGTGCTCTGCCCTCGCAGCTGGGGTAGCTCAGGGCAGCCTGAAATGATTTCACCTTTATTTGGGCATCGGTCGCTGCGGGGTCTCGGAGTTTGGAGGGACCTGTCCCCACTGCCATGGGGAGAATCCTGAGCCCAATCCCGCTCCCCCCGCCCCAAAACCCGGAGCTGCCGGCCCCAAGCGCCCCGGGGCTGCTCGAGAACCGGGGAGCAGCAATTAGGAAGTGAATGAACAGCACAAAGGCAATTCCCAGCTGAAGATGCAAATCCCAAGAGATAATCCTAAACTTAATCTTCTGGTCTAGGACGGGCCTTTCCCAGTCGGGTTTAGGGGGAGCCCTCGGAGGTGTTTTGGCGCACGGAAGGGGAGATTTGCAGGGCGGACGTGTGGCCACACACCTTATAAATCTCCTGGTTGACCCAATTCCTGCAAACCAGCGTCTGGATGTTGCCCCCGACCAGGAAGGTGGCGAAAACCAGGAGGATGAGGAGCCAGGAGAACAGGAAAGCCAAGGCGACGCCGCTGGAAGAGGGAGAGGAGGAGGCGGCGGTGGCTTTGCAGAGCCCAGCAGGCAGGAAGGGACCTGCCCGTCCAGCTGCAGCCCCGCGGCTCCTTCCCGAGCCCGGGCACGCCGGGCTGGGCACAGCCCTGCCAGCGGGGTGTGCCGAGCTGCCACATCCAGGCGGCGGCAGCTTCTCCCAAAGCGGTGCCTTCAAAAGCTTTTCCGCTGGGACGGCTCCCGGTCCCTCCCTTGGCTTTGCCCGGGGTTTTTTGGGGGGTGTGGGAGATGGGAGAGCCCCCCCAGCACCAGGGAGAGCTTACAGCAGGAGGAATTTGGCGCCGGCTTCTGCTCGGCACTCGTAGTCGCTGGGATCCTCCCGCTTGGAGAGGCCGAAGGCCCCCAGGGCCATTCCCGTCACGTTGCAGGCGAGGATGAGGAGGATGATGGAGCACAGCACCGTGCCCGCGATCCACCTGCGGTGGGGGGGAAAGAAGAGCAGCAGGGCACAGCCTCGAGATGGGGGCACCTGGGGCTCGGGGACCTTCTGTGGGGCGCTCACCTGTAGCGCTCGAAGCGCTGCACCTCCCGCAGGTACGGCTGGCTCCGCTGCTCCGCCTTCAGCAGCGCCTCGCTCACCGGCCGAGTGTAATCGGGGAGGGGGAAGCCGTCGGCGATGGACTGAACCTTCTCCGCCGTGCGGGCCAAATCGCCCCGCAGATCTGCGGGGACAAGGCTGCGCTGGAGGGGGTCCCTGCATGCCGTGTCCCCAAACCGGGATTCACCGGCAGCACGGTGTCCCCGCTCGCCGTGACAGCCCCGCTCACCCTGGATGACCTGCGCCATCCTCTCCACGGCCAGCTCCGGGATGGAGTTGAAGGTGCCGTTGCCCTGCGAGGAAAGAGGGGGTGCTGAGAGGCTCAGCTGCACGTGCTGAGCACCCCCCGCTTCACCCCGACACCCCCAACCTGGCGAATCATCTCCGCAAAGTCACTTCGGGGCAGCCCGGCCAGCGCCTTCAACACCTTCTCCACCGACGGCACCTTGAGGAGGAGGAAGGAGCCCGTGAGCCCCGGGCTCGGCGGGCTGGGGAGGTGGCGGTGGGGGACCCCCAGCCCACCTTGCCGTAGTCGGCGCCCAGCTCCAGGCTCTGTGCCCTGCCCAGGACGCTGGAGCAGGAGGTGCAGCGTGGATCGTCCAGGAGCGCGACCACGCGGCTCCTCCGCTCCCGCAGCGCCGGCTCCAG